GTGTGTGTGTGTGTGTGTGAGAGTGTGTGAGTGTGTGAGTTGCACTGAGTAAATACAGCTGGTTAAAACAAAAATTGTGTCCGTCTTCATTTCAGACTGCAAAGCAACAAAATTTGATTATTTTCTATATCCACTGTATATGTATTCCAGTGTTCTAAAGAACTAGATTTTTAAAAAATGTATTTATTATTATTTTTCTCAACTGGGGGAGAAAATGGATTTCATTTTCGAATAAGTATTGAACCTGAATGGTCCTTTATTTTCTTCAAGGAAAATGTAATTTTTTTTCTTTTTCTAATTTCTTCCCCTGTTGATTTTGGGATGAAATATAACCTGTGTGTTCTTCAGTGGTTTGTGTTGGAATGGATGCTCCGTTATGATCTTCACTTTTTCAAAAACACTTTTTATCCCCAGTATCAACATAATCTAGACTAAGAGCAAGCAGTGTACTTCTGTAAGAAACCTGTTACCTTTCTGTGTCATGACCCACCAGTTCAGACCCGGCCTGCTCTAGAGACACACAGCTGCAGTTCTCCAGGGAATTCCTTTGAAACCGTCTTCGGGAGCTTTTAACCATCTTAAACAACATACTCACTTTGATTCAGCCACGGTTACTGCTGTTCGGTGTGAGCACAAGACGGCAACAGAGCAAAGAGACTCTATTAATTAATTAAAACATGCGGATTAAAGACTTATGGTTTATTTTTGGAATTATTTCATAAAATGGGATCAACATTTAATTACAGAATTGGTGGATTTGGTGAGTATTACGGAAAACACCGTGGGAAATATTTAATAAACCCTTCGGCCCCCAAGCAGAGCTGACCCGGAAAGCAAAAGACTTCCAGTATCCAAGCACTGATTATTTAATTAAAATATAATTGATGTATTGAATGAAACAATGATGGAATTATTGAAAATTGTTTTTCTATCTATCTGTCTATCTGTCTGTCTGTCTGTCTGTCTGTGGAACCAGACAGATAGGAAAGAAAATGTGTTTATATGTAGAGGTGTCAACGCTAAATTGGTCTGGTTGATTTCATATTGCTCTCAATATGACAGCTGTGTCTCCCCCTGCATTACACGTCATTGATTGGAACCCCCACCCACCCCGTTTTGACAGCTCTCGGTGACGCGCTCGGACGCGAACACTGCGGTTTGAAAAGAGCCCACCTCCATGTGAATGCGTGCGTGCTCGCCACCCTTCTGTTGTTCTCTCTCCAGAGCGTGCACGCACGCGTTTATCCCCACCTCTCAATGTATTTCCAGCGTCTGCCGCGGACTTGTACAGACACCGCGTTGGATTGCGAATACAGATGGAGATCTTACTGATGTCTGATGGCCACCGGCGCTCCCGAGCCGCGCGAAAGCACGCAAGTCAACTATGATACGCGCGAGACACTGGCATGTGTCAGGAGTGCCAAGCTGAGCGCTGACGGGGAACATAGACGAACCGGCCGAGAAAGAGGTTTGTTTGGATATCACAGGAAAAGCTGCCCGTGGAAATGAGTCCTGAAGAGAAACCAAAGAGGCACTTTACTACTGTGTGTCTACGGAGAGAGAAGTGCAGACTTTCTGTTTTCTCTACGAGAAAAGGAAACTTAAATGACTTCTGAACATAAAGGTGAATTCATTCTTCATTTGAAGCACTTTTACAACATGTATTGATATACATGGCTCCCACTGGTTTCAAACAGCCGAACCTGAATTAAGATCACAGTGTTTTAAGTCTATGGGATTATACTGGACATATAGTCATTTATGCATCTTGAATGATAAATTAATCCATATGCGCAATCTTCATGATTTTTATCCCGTTACGCACGTTTAATTCAGAATAGAAGCGCCTGCAAAATCCGGAGTGGGAACTCAGGAAAGGTCGGTGCTCCAGTCAAGAGAATATTAACGCCACAGGACGTTTTAAAGAGAAGACTGGTTTAATTTTTGTGTGTTTTTAACAACAGTAACGCTTTTATGCCCTTTATGTCCGTCTGACAGGACTCGGAGTCTCCAATGAACGCTTATTCTGAATCTGAAGAACAAAAGAGGGCGGAAGGTTTATTTTTAGGAAGCCGTGTTGAGTTATTTTTCTTAAGTAAATAATGTTGAAACATCATGTTTTTCAGTTTGGCCGCTCTTGGACTTTTCTGAAATACTCATCCCCTCTTGGACTTTTTTTAATGTTTATTTGATCAAGAGTTTTTTGGATTTTATTATGCATAACTGTGTTGGATATGAGAAATGCCATAACTTACGTCAAGCATAAATGCTGACAGTCCTCTAAGTGGTCTCATAAATACAATTAGCTTCTTGAAAACCAATGTAATGGCTCATTTATGGAGAAAATGGTGCACTTGGCGTCAGAATGGAGTTAAGAAGTTCCCTAAGGAGTCAAAGCAAACAGTCTTTCACTTGAGTCTTCATTTTTGTGATATTGTTATGCAACTTTGATTCATCAGTGAGAGAACATTTTTGATTCACTTTTAGTAAGTCAAAAGATTCCATGCGCTTTGAATAAACCTCTCTGACCCATGTGCGTCAGGAAGGACAGAAGAGAAGAAGAATGCGCTATTGACGTCATGAGGTGAAATAACCAAAACTTAAAATCCTGGAACTGTCTAAATGCATGAGTAAATTTTTCGTCATCTAGTCATCAGAGCTGTTTGGTGCAACCTCCATTTGTTTTCTCCTCTTGATTCTTTTTCCATCCAAGCACCTTATTTTCATCTTTTTTTTTGCATTTCTCCCAGCTCGCCTCTGATCTGAATGGTATCATGGCTTCTCCTCAACATCAACATCTGCTGTTTCACAACAGCGAAGTAAGCTGCGACTCCAGCGGCGATGGTGCTGTGTCTGTGCGGATCAGCGGCACCAAGCTGCACAAACAGCAGCGTGGGAGTCTGGGCGCCAGCGCCATGTGCAGCATCATTGGGGGCTCCAAACATTGCAAGTACAGCATCTCCTCCAGCTGTAATGGCTCATTTATGGAGAAAATGGTGCACTTGGCGTCAGAATGGAGTTAAGAAGTTCCCTAAGGAGTCAAAGCAAACAGTCTTTCACTTGAGTCTTCATTTTTGTGGTATTGTTATGCAACTTTGATTCATCAGTGAGAGAACATTTTTGATTCACTTGTAGTAAGTCAAAAGATTCCATGCGCTTTGAATAAACCTCTCTGACCCATGTGCGTCAGGAAGGACAGAAGAGAAGAAGAATGCGCTATTGACGTCATGAGGTGAAATAACCAAAACTTAAAATCCTGGAACTGTCTAAATGCATGAGTAAATTTTTCGTCATCTAGTCATCAGAGCTGTTTGGTGCAACCTCCATTTGTTTTCTCCTCTTGATTCTTTTTCCATCCAAGCACCTTATTTTCATCTTTTTTTTTGCATTTCTCCCAGCTCGCCTCTGATCTGAATGGTATCATGGCTTCTCCTCAACATCAACATCTGCTGTTTCACAACAGCGAAGTAAGCTGCGACTCCAGCGGCGATGGTGCTGTGTCTGTGCGGATCAGCGGCACCAAGCTGCACAAACAGCAGCGTGGGAGTCTGGGCGCCAGCGCCATGTGCAGCATCATTGGGGGCTCCAAACATTGCAAGTACAGCATCTCCTCCAGCTGTAGCTCAGGCGAAACTGCCATCCGCAAAGCAGTGGTCAAAGGCTTCCGGACTCAAAGGAAGATGCCGCAGCTGTTTGAGAGGTCGGCTGGACACTTCTGGAACCCCAAGTTTGACTCCAACATTCTGGAGGAAGCCTGCCGCGAGCGTTGCTTCCCTCAGACGCAAAGACGTTTCCGCTGTGTGTTGTTGTACTTGGTGGCAGCCAGCCTCCTCTGGGGGCTGTTCTTCATCGTTAATGCTAATCGATGTGAACGAACTGCCTTCTTATTGCCCACAGCCTCCTTCCTACTCCTTTGTTCTGTCCTGTTTGTCTTCACGTTCACCCGGTTCTACGTCCACTGCTACAATCAAGCCTCACTGTTGCTCATCGTGGTGACATTTGCCCTCACTCTTGCACCTCAGATCCAGACTCCAGGATTTAGTGACTTTAATGTTCCTCCTTTGAAGGATGAAGAGGATACAGGCAACTTCAGTAGCACTGAGGATAAAAACCTGACGTCTGAAGTTGCCCACAGTGGAGGTCCAGTAGCCCCTTGTTTGTCCCCAGTTGGCACCTTCTCTTTAGGCATGGAGGTGCTTTCGTTGCTCTACAGTTTCCTCCACGTCCGTTTGTACGCTTCGCTCCTGCTCGGCCTGCTCTACTCAGTGCTTTTTGAGACGCTTGGCTGGATGCACTTGATTCAAGGCAATGGTTGGAGAAACTCCACCGAGGAACATTTGGAAACGCTCTACTGGCTGATCCCTGGAAGAGCCATTTTGCATCTCTGCGCCCACGTCATTGGCATCCACCTTTTTATTATGTCCGAAGTGCGTTCACGCAGCACGTTCCTCAAGGTCGGCCAAGCCATCATGCATGGGAAAGACTTGGAGGTGGAAAAGGCCCTGAAGGAGCGGATGATCCACTCGGTGATGCCTCGTAGGGTGGCCGATGAGCTCATGAAGCAGGGCGACGACGACAGTGACTATTCGGTTAAGCGCTACTCGACGGGATCGGCTATTGCAGGCGCCTCCAGTCCTAAGAGCACCAAACGCAAGAAGACGTCGATTCCTCGGGGTCAGATCATCTTTCGGCCGTTTAACATGAAACGCATGGAGCCGGTCAGCATCCTGTTCGCGGACATTGTGGGATTCACCAAGATGAGCGCCAACAAGTCGGCGCACGCCCTGGTGGGACTCCTCAATGACTTATTTGGACGCTTCGATCGCCTGTGCGAGCTCGCGTGTTGCGAGAAGATCAGCACGCTGGGAGACTGTTACTATTGCGTGGCTGGTTGTCCCGAACCACGAGAGGACCACGCCTACTGTTGCATAGAGATGGGGCTTGGGATGATCCAGGCCATTGAGCAGTTCTGTCAAGAAAAAAAGGAGATGGTGAACATGCGTGTTGGCGTCCACACGGGCACCGTGCTTTGCGGGATCCTCGGCATGAAGCGGTTTAAATTCGACGTCTGGTCCAATGATGTCAACCTAGCCAATCTCATGGAGCAGTTGGGTGTCGCCGGGAAGGTTCACCTTTCGGAGGCCACAGACAAGTTCTTGGATGACCGGTACTTGCGAGAAGATGGCCGAGTCCCAGAAAGGATTGGACCAAGTGTGGTTGCAGATCAGCTTAAAGGTAAGATGTGCATTTCTAATGACTAGCACGTAGTACATGAGCATGTTTCCTTGTTTAGTACTGTGCTTAGTCTTTGTTGCGAAACCATGCCTTGGAGTAATGAGTGAGACACTTTTGGCTCTTGTGGCTGTTAAAACTTTCTTTGCTGCGTTGAAACTTTGCTCTTCAGCCTGCGTATTGTCAGTATCTTCAGGGTTTACTTGTCAAAGCGTTTTGTTGAATCTTTGCCCCTGCGGTTTCGGTGACATATTCGGTTTTCGAAGCAGGTTTTTTAGTCAGTTATATGATGTCTAACCTTTTCCACAGCCTTCAGAAAGGGACTCATATTGGAGTTTTGTACAGTCAGTTTTTCCTCAAAAAAGGCCTGTCATTTTCTATGTATGATCATGTTTTCCATTCAGTGGTCAACAAAGCAAAATTATCATTTGCAAGTGGCAAATTAGTCATGTTAGCATGTGATGCAATGTTGGCATACATTTGTTGTTATTTTTGCGTATTTTGTATTTGATGTATTTCTGCCAGTTTTTGCACGTCTCCTTTCCTTTAAAGGGACAGTACACCCAAAAAAATGAAAATTGTCATCATTTACTAACCCTCTTGTGGTGTCATATGTAAGTCTTTCTTTCTTCTGTGGAACACAAAAAGAGATATTTTCAAAAATGTCTCAGCATTTATTTATACAGTGGGTACGGAAAGTATTCAGACCCCCTTAAATTTTTCACTCTTTGTTATATTGCAGCCATTTGCTAAAATCATTTAAGTTAATTTTTTTTCCTCATTAATGTACACACAGCACCCCATATTGACAGAAAAACACACAGAAGAAAAAGTCTTACAGGTATTTTAAATTTGTTTTTGACATTTTTAGTATTATTATTTTATATTTCTATATGGCTTTAATTTATTTTATAAAATTTTTAGTCATTTTAGTATTTCAGTTTAAATGTATTATTTCTAATTTTTATAATATAAATATATTTATCTATAATATTTACATTGTAAATGATGACAGAATTTTCATTTTTGGGTGAACTGTCCCTTTAATAGCTCATAAAGAGATTAATTTTGGAGATTTGTATAATCATTTTGCAAAAGGGCTGTAATGTCCACTGTGTCCTAATTTCATGTGCTTTCTGATCAGCAATCAACAAAGAAAAATGAGCATTTGCAAATTAGCAACCTTGTTTTGCATGCCAATAAGGTTAGCATGCAAGCTATATTTGTACATTTGTTTCTTATGCATATTTTGCATTTCAAGCTAACCTCTCCTTTCGCTTAAAGGCTGGTCACCTCACTTATATCAAGTATTGGATTCTCAAGGCATCGACATTTGTATAAATGTGACCAAAGGCTGGCATTTTTATGTAATTAACTTATGCAAATGGTTCTTTCATTTTGTTAATTGTACTTGAGCTCAACCAAAAGCTAATAATTGGGCGTTGAGTGATATATTTTCCGGACAGAATATGAATGTCCCAGCTTGTTTTTAATCCTTCCAGGTCATAATTATGGTTACTTAATAAATCCTCTTCATTTAATGAGGAATGCCAGACTGTAATTAATATAAAATGGAATTCTCATTTTGGCAGTATTGATAACAGGCCAAATGACTAAACCTCCTATAAGATTAGCAAAGTGGCATCTGTCTTTTACCACGCAGATTGGCTTAACGTCTTCGCATATTCAGTTTTTTTTTAATCATTGTTATTGATTAAGGAGCCACATGTTTAAAAAAGCCCCATGCATTTTCACAGGACTTTTGACATCTTTATCCGCCGTGCTAAAATCTAAGCACTGAAGGATCCCAAACGCCTGTTTGCGAGTGGATAAACTCAACTGGTGAAACCAAAATCGCTGTGCCAGAACAAATCTCGATGCTCCTGAGGAACTCAAGCCTCATTTTTTTTACTCTGTCATTCCCTCAGCCTTCGTTTAAAAGGGTAAAATGGCCTCCTTAAAACGGTCCCATGGTGCTCGTTTCTAAATATCTGTCAGATCTTCTATCAATTTCTTTCCTTCAGCCTCTGTTTTTGTACTGTAGTCTTTCCAGTGGATAGTTTTGCTCTGTGTTGTTTTTTTTTTTTTTTACAGTTTCATGACTCAGAATGGTACAGCAAGGTGAAGTGTAACATTGCATAACAACCTTTCTTTTTCTAACACCACTGAACTCTCTGTTGAATTCACTGCATTTCATTTCGCTCGGTTTAACACGTACTGTACTCAAGGCCTGAAGTTTTAATATATGACTTCCTTTCTTTAATCATCAACAAAATGATTAAAGTGGCGACATTCTTTCCTTCATATCTTGTGTTCATTTGATTGCCCCTCTTCAGGTGTTTTTTTTTTTTTTCCCCCGTTCACTGGCTGAAAGCTTAATTTTCCCACTCCGGAGTGATGTGTTCAGTCCAGCGCTCCGGATTTATCTTTCCCTCATGGATTTTCAGGCCCATTGAATGTGCTCTCCGTCGAGAGAGACTTGGACTCCAGAATGGCAAAAATCTTCCAGCTGCTCGCTGTAGCTACGTAAATCACCGAAGGAAAGTAGCGTGCTCGTGTGGAAACCTGGCAGACCTGGGAATAGAGACTGGCCAGGTCTCGAGTAAATCACACTGACCTGGACGCTAATCACAAACCTGCAGTCTCCCGTCAGATGCCGATGTTCTTTTGAATTGGACATGTGTTTAAATGAAAGTGTTGGCTCTCGCTGCAAGGTCTTTCAATTTGCTGGTGAAATCAAGCTGCGCAAACCAACAAAAACAGCACACATGGGTCATTCCTACTGTGCAGTACATTTTCATGTCTCTGTGAAATCAAACCATGAAACCAAGAGCCCATCGAATCTAAACTGGGTGTTTTAGTTTAGTTTTCAGTCCTTGTGTGTTAGCTTTGAAGTCGTCTACAGCAGCCTATATGCTAGTGTACTGCTAAAAGACTTTTCACAGTTTTTCCGCTTTTGTGAAATTGAGTCAGATGTCAGATATATATACACACTAGTCAACATTTGAAGTGGATAAAAACCTTTCATCAAAGTGTTCCTAAAACCAAAATGCGTTCTTGTCTTAGTACAACTTTGATTAACTTTTTTTGATCCTCTTCAAATGTTGACTACTGTATATGTATATATATATATATATATATATTTATTAATTTATTTATTTCGAACTAATATTTTGGATATAATATTAAACTGCCAATGTCACAATATTGCAAGTTTGTAAGTTAATACAAATTATTATATTTTGTAAAAATATTGTATTATGTTTTCATTGTCTTTTATCACAATATTGTAATTAAGTAAATATAGCAGTAATTTTTAACAAATTGCACTGCTTTTGAAGCCATTTATATGCTAGTATACTGATAAAAGACCAAATCAACTTACACGCGTTTAAAATGAACAGTTTTTTCACTTCTGGACTATGTCAATCTCACTATATAAATTATTTTATTTTATTTTTATTCATTTAAAGATATAATATCACAATATCACACAATATCACAATAGCATTAATTTGAACAAATCTTACTGCTGTGGAAGTCATTTATATGTGTACTTCTAAAAGACCAAATTAAAATATATACATAATTTATTTATGTATTTCTCATAAATACATAAATCATCTCATAAATCTCATAAATTTATGTATTTATTTATTTTTTTTTACGTCTGGGGAAAATGGACCAGATATATAAAGCAAATATTTATTTACTTATTTTGGATAAAATTTAAAATTCTATAGATGGAAAACTTAGTTTTCTTTTATCATAATATAATATTACATTTAAGTGCATATTGCAGTAATCTTTAACAAATTTTACTGCTTTGGTTTGACTGGATATTTATATCATGTCCTTGGGTGTTTTGCAAGATTGAACATGGAATTTTTTTTTTTTTAGGAAACAATCCTTT